CACTTAATTTGTCTTAAAATACAGACATTCTGGCGCTCAAGAGGTAGAGGAGCCAAATGTCTGGCTCACTGCTGCCAACTAGTGGTCAGAGGCTGAACTACAACATAAAAATGAACGGCTGGCAGGAAAGTTGACATTTTAAACCTTAATAAAAAATCGATACAGGGCTTTAGAATATCGATACAGTATCGGGAAATGAAATATCGCGATATTTCAGTGTATCGATATTTTCTTACACCCCTATTAGAAGTACGATTTTACATTCAGGTCTGACTGATGGAGAGAAGCTGCAGCAGCGAGGAGGACTTGTTGTGGTTTCAGTTTGTAGCAACAATAAAAGCTTCTGTCCTGTTTCCTCACGTCTCTGTCCCTCAGAGCTTCTCCTCCTCGGTCCTGAAGAGCTTCTCTGTGGACTGCAAGCGGGTGTCAGTGGAGATCTTTGAACGCACCATGCCCTCTGCAGGACACTGGAGGCCCAGCCACAGAACAGGTACAGGTTAGACCTGCAGACTGGACCGGACCACCTCCATGTTCACAGTGACAGGATGAAACACCAGGACAACTAGTTGTTTTAATGGCTCAGGACTCCTGGTTTAAACATGTCTGAGTTCAGGACTTGTTTCCAATCTGTGAGCTGTGCTGTTCATCAGAGGAAGACCGAAGACCTCAGATATGGTTCAGCCACCGTGGTTTCAGCTCATCACTCAGTTTCTCAGGTGTCCTCCCAGGAAAACGTTTGTTACATCCAGATGTGTCTGTGTGCACAGCTGCATTGTTCAACATGTCCAGGATGCTTACTCAGCAGTTCTTCTTTCTGAGCAGCTCTGCTGACCGTCTATAAACAAACTCTGAAGCCGGCTTCCCACCAAACGTGTTTGGAGCAGCCAAGATGCTCCTGCCGCCTGTGTTTGGCTGCTTGTCAACAGCTGTCCGTTCACACCGAACACGTCTGAAGACGAGCAATGGGAGGAGAGTTTTTGTTCTTTTTCCGGTCCGTTGACCTTTGAACTAAAGATAAAATAAATAAAATAGCTTTGCTTTATTTACTAAAGTGCAAGTGAACGTTTCTCACAGAGCAGATAATTAATTCACCAGATATTAGAGGCGCTCTGTCTGACTTTTTTTTTTCAGACCGGGACCAGACTGTCTTTAATGAAGTGTGAAATAAAGATAAAATAAATAAAATGGCTTTGCTTTATTTACTAAAGAGCAAGTGAACGTTTGTCACATAACAGATAATTCACTTTTTTTTTAGACCAGGACCAGACTAGAGGCTGTAGAGGGAGGAGGGTCTTGGTTATTTTCGGTCTGTCTTTAACAACGGGTGAAATAAAGATAAAATAAATACAACGGCTTTGTTTTATTTACTAAAGTTTTGCCACTCCAGGAACTGCGATCTGAGGGACTTCTTTTTGTCCCGAGCTCAGCGAGCTGCTGCTCTCTCATCACATCAGTGCTGATCTCTCCAGCTAGAACTGCAGACGGTCGATTTCAGCTAAAAAGACTCGTTAGTCTGTGTCGGGTTCATGAAACCGTCGTGAAAAAAAAAATTTTCTCCCGACTGGTTGCTGCTGCGCGTCGAGCAGCCAAAGTTCATTTTGTTGAACTTTAGCAGCCGCTGCTTTGCAGCTGCTGCATGTAGCGCTCTGCTCTCAACTGGCAGAACGCCGCTACGTGCTGCGCTGCTCCTAGATGCTCGTCCACCACAGACTTTGCATGTAAACTGGCTGCTTTGGCTGCTCCAAACACGTTTGGTGTGCACCCGGCTATAGGCTCTTATTGTGTCTCCTCATTTTATCAACATTTCACCAATGCTGAAACTGTAAACAGGGTCCAAAAACAAAATTGTTACGATGTTCTGGCAGAATCTTTCACTGTGCTGTTAGCTAAAAGTTAATCTATAAGCAGCAGTGTTAAGGTTTGTCTCCAGATATACAGTGGTTTGCAAAAGTATTCATACCCCTTGAACTTTTCCATATTTTGTCACATTACAACCACAAACATAAATATATTTCAC